CTGAGCCCTCCCCGTCCTCCCTGTGGGGTCCTCTCCTCAGTGCTGAGCCCTCTCCGTCCTCCCTGTGCAGTCCTCTCCTCAGTGCTGAGCCCTCCCCGTCCTCCCTGTGGGGTCCTCTCCTCAGTGCTGAGCCCTCCCCGTCCTCCCTGTGGAGTCCTCTCCTCGGTGCTGAGCCCTCCCCGTCCTCCCTGTGGAGTCCTCTCCTCAGTGCTGAGCCCTCCCCGTCCTCCCTGTGGGGTCCTCTCCTCAGTGCTGAGCCCTCCCCGTCCTCCCTGTGCAGTCCTCTCCTCAGTGCTGAGTCCTCCCCGTCCTCCCTGTGGAGTCCTCTCCTCAGTGCTGAGCCCTCTCCGTCCTCCCTGTGCTGTCCTCTCCTCAGTGCTGAGCCCTCTCCGTCCTCCCTGTGGAGTCCTCTCCTCAGTGCTGAGCCCTCCCCGTCCTCCCTGTGCTGTCCTCTCCTCAGTGCTGAGCCCTCTCCGTCCTCCCTGTGCAGTCCTCTCCTCAGTGCTGAGCCCTCCCCGTCCTCCCTGTGCAGTCCTCTCCTCAGTGCTGAGTCCTCCTCGTCCTCCCTGTGCTGTCCTCTCCTCAGTGCTGAGCCCTCCCCGTCCTCCCTGTGGAGTCCTCTCCTCGGTGCTGAGCCCTCGCCGTCCTCCCTGTGGTGCTCTCTCCTCGGTGCTGAGCCCTCTCCGTCCTCCCTGTGCTGTCCTCTCCTCGGTGCTGAGCCCTCTCCGTCCTCCCTGTGGTGCTCTCTCCTCAGTGCTGAGCCCTCCCCGTCCTCCCTGTGGAGTCCTCTCCTCGGTGCTGAGCCCTCCCCGTCCTCCCTGTGGAGTCCCTCTCCTCAGTGCTGAGCCCTCCCCGTCCTCCCTGTGCTGTCCTCTCCTCAGTGCTGAGCCCTCCCCGTCCTCCCTGTGGTGCTCTCTCCTCAGTGCTGAGCCCTCCCCGTCCTCCCTGTGGGGTCCTCTCCTCAGTGCTGAGCCCTCCCTGTCCCCCTGTCTTTGGTGACACTGAGAATAGCATTCTCTCAGTTGGGTTTCTGACCGTCGCTGTGCTGTGTGGACCCGCTGCTGATCGCCGTGTTGACTGTGGAGCTCACGCACACGTCACGCACTGCCCGCGTCCTTAGTGGTTTCCGGCGCACTGCCCGCGTCCTTAGTGGTTTCCGGCGCACTTCACGCCCCGTGCACATCCGCGCAGGGGCGCTTGTGTGCTGTCACCTGCGTGTCTTCCCCGCCCGCACGCTCTGCCCGTGGTGCTGGCCTGGCCTCTGTGGGGTCGCTGACCGGGGCCACGGGTGCCGTGCCTCGGGGCTGCCCTGCCTGCGGGCGCCCTGCCCCAGATGCTGACCGGGTTTACAGGACACCGACAGGGACGCGGACCGGGGCTGCGGGGGCGGCCTCGGGCAGGGCCCCCCCCCCGCCCCGGACGCCGGTGGGACCTCGAGCCCTCCCGTGGCCCGTGTCGGCGAGGCCCTGCTTAGCTTCGAGCTCCCTCACGCATCTCGCCGTGCCTGGGTGTTGATGCGTGCCCAGCTCTTCCGCGCGCATCGCGTGACCCTGTGGCTCTGCTGCTCCAGTCCGTCATGACCGGAATCGAACGTTCAGATGATCAAGCCGTCTTGCGTCTCTGACTCAGTTCCCCTTTCGTCTTCAGTCCTGTCTCCTCATCCTCCTCACGTGCCTTTCGGTCCTGAGTCCTGTGTCTTGTTAGGGTTTGGTCCAGGCTCCTGGAAGGCAACCGTCTTTCTCTGCTGAATCCTCTGTCTAGTTCCGCGTCAGAGTGCTCTGACCTCACAGAGTGGGTTGGGTTATTGGTCCCCTTTCTGGAGCCCGTGTGTTGACATTTGGGATGACGCTTTATGTTAACATTTGGTAGAATTCACAGTGAAGCATTTGAGATTGGTCGTTTCCTAACCGGGAAGGTCGTGGATGTTGTTTGCTGACTTAGTTCTCATCTTTCACGTGTCTGCTCAGCTCACCTGGCTTGGTGAATTTATTATTTTTTTTTAATATTGAAGTTCAATTGGTTAACAGTGTTGTGATGGTTTCAGGCAGACAGCACAGGTACTCAGCCACACATGTACGTGTATCCATTCTTCCCCCAGCTCCCCTCCCATCCAGGCTGCCACGTGACATTGAGCAGAGTTCCCTGTGCTGGCCAGCAGGTCCTTGCCGGTTCTCCATGTTAAACACAGCAGCGTGTCCGTGTCCATCCCAGACTCCCTGACTGTGCCTTCCCCCATCCTTCCCCCTGGGGACCATCAGGTTAGTACAGAGTATTGAGCAGAGTTCCCTGAGCTGACCAGCAGGTCCTTGCTGGTTCTCCATGTTAAACACAGCAGCGTGTCCACGTCCATCCCAGACTCCCTGACTGTGCCTTTCCCCATCCTTCCCCCTGGGGACCATCAGGTTATCACAGAGTATTGAGCAGAGTTCCCTGGGCTGTCCAGCAGGTCCTTGCTGGTTCTCCATGTTAAACACAGCAGCGTGTCCACGTCCATCCCAGACTCCCTGACTGTGCCTTCCCCCATCCTTCCCCCTGGGGACCATCAGGTTATCACAGAGTATTGAGCAGAGTTCCCTGTGCTGGCCAGCAGGTCCTTGCCGGTTCTCCATGTTAAACACAGCAGCGTGTCCACGTCCATCCCAGACTCCCTGACTGTGCCTTCCCCCATCCTTCCCCCTGGGGACCATCAGGTTATCACAGAGTATTGAGCAGAGTTCCCTGAGCTGGCCAGCAGGTCCTTGCCGGTTCTCCATGTTAAACACAGCAGTGTGTCCATGTCCATCCCAGACTCCCTGACTGTGCCTTCCCCCATCCTTCCCCCTGGTGACCATCAGGTTATCACAGAGTACTGAGCAGAGTTCCCTGAGCTGTCCATCAGATCCTTGCTGGTTCTCCATGTTAAACACAGCCGTGTGTCCACGTCCATCCCAGACTCCCTGACTGTCCCTTCCCCTATCCTTCCCCCTGGTGACCATCAGGTTATCACAGAGTATTGATCAGAGTTCCCTGGGCTGTCCAGCAGGTCCTTGCTGGTTCTCCATGTTACATACAGCAGCGTGTCCACGTCCATCCCAGACTCCCTGACTGTCCCACCCCATAACCATAAGTTCATTCTGTAAGTCTGAGAGTCTGTTTCTGCTTTGTAAGTAAGTTCGTAGATATCATCTCTTTTTCGACTCCCCATGTAAGGGAAGTGACAGGGTGCTTCTCTCTGACTGACTTCACGGTGTGTGACCGTTTCTAGGTCCATCCGTGTTGCTGCAGATGGCATTATCTAGTTCCTTTTTATGGCTGAGTAATAGTCCATGGCACACATGCGCCACAGCTTTCTCTATTGCTCTGTCGGTGGACATCTAGTTTGCTTCTGTTTCTTGGCTTTTCTAAGCAGTGCTGCAAGGAACACTGGGGTGCATGTATCCTTTCCGACTGTGTTTTCTGCAGACACATGCCCAGCACTGGGATGGTAGGGTCATGTGGCAGCTGTGTCTTTCGTTTTTCAGCAGCCTCTGTGCTGTCCTCCACAGTGGCTGTAATAGGTTACAGGCCCGCCAACATGTAGGAGGCTTCCCTTTCCACCTCACCCTCTGCAGCATTTACTGATTGTTGATTTTTGGGTGATGGCCACTCTGATTGGTGTGAGATGATCGTCTTTGTAGTTTTGATTTGCATTTCTCTGGTTAGCAGTGTTGAACGTCTTTTCGTTTGCATCTTGGCCATCTGTATGTCTTCTTTGGAGAAGTGTCTTTCCAGGTCCTCAGCCCATTTTTTTAATTGGGCAGGGAGCGTCCTGTCAGACTGCCTGCTGGCCACTGCCTCGCCTCCCCCCGCAGCATAGTGGTCTGTGAGCCGGTGTCTGGGTCCCGCTCTCGAGACTGTCGTGTGGTCACATCTGCTGGGATCTGGTTACGTGTTTCCTCCGCGTCTCCCTCTGCAGTCCTGAGCCTGTTCATGCGCTTCACTTGCAGAGCCCATCAGCACACAGCTCGTGGTCCTCGGGGGTAACCGTGAGCTGTTCCACTGAGCTGTTTGCGTTTTTCCTGTTGTTCATTCACAAAGTCATGTCTGACTCTGCAACCCCATGGAATGTAGCCCGCCAGGCTCCTCTGTCCATGGGATTCTCCAGGCAAGAATAGTAAGAGTGGATTCCCGTTTCTGTCTCCAGGGGATCTTCCCGACCCAGGGGTTGGACCAGGTCTCCTGGGATTGTTGGAGCGTTCCCATATATTCTGAACTCTCCTGGTCTTGCCTGCATGAGTTGGGTGTTTGCAGAACTGTTGGTAAAGGTATTCACGTCTGCTGGTGTCTGTCCCAGGATTTGACCAGAGCCTTGAGGGCGAAACTGAAGCCTGTGTGCAATCCTGCCACCAGGAAATAAAGCAGTCAGAGCATCTCTGTTGTTTCCATACCTCTTCAACGCCTTCTGTCGCAGTTCATTCGCTCAGTCGTGTCCGACTGTTTGTGACCCCGTGGACTGTACCACATCTTCCGTGTCCTTCACCATCTCCCAGAGCTCACTCAGACTCACGTCCATCGAGTCAGTGATGCCATCCAACCACCTTCTCCTCCCGCCTTCAACCTTTCCCAGCATCAGGGTCTTGAAAGCTGTGACTGTGAGTGGTGTGGTCACCTTGACCCTTGAGATGTGCGGTGTCACAGGAGCACCCTTGTCGCGCCCCGAGTATTTCACGGTCTCCTCTGTCGCTTACGCTCTCCTAATGGGCCATGAGATGCTGAGACTCCAGGGTTGGGGTGTCGTCGCCTCTGTCCCAGTTGCTGACGATCAGGCTCTGGTCTGGGGACCAGGTGCACACTGCATCCTCAGGACCACGGTTTGCATCCCCATCGCCCATGTGACCGAAGGCGAGGGGCTGCCGTGTCCTCACAGACACCCCGGGGTGTGCAGGGCGCGCCATCTGCACACAGCAGCTCTTCTTGCCTTGTCGGGGCCGGGCCACCATGGGCGCCAGGACGAGCTCACCGTGTCCCCGCCCCTCCCGCAGGCCTGTGGCTGCCCACTCTACTGGAAGGGACCACTCTTCTGCAGCGCTGGCGGGGAGCGCACCGGCTCCGTGTCCGTCCACAAGTTCGTCGCCATGTGGAGAAAGTGAGTCCCAGGAGGGGGGTGTCCCCTGCCCGTCCCCCGCCCTCGGCTGCTGCTCCTGCGGCCGGGACAGTCACGTCTGGGGGAGGCCATGACGGGGAGACTGTGCCTGGGGTGTCCTGGCGGCCGGGACGGTCACATCTGGGGGTGACCGTGTCTTGGGGTCCAGGCGGCCGGGTCGGTTACTTCTGGGGGGTGACCGTGCTTGGGGGTCCCGGCGGCCGGGACGGTCGCGCCTGGGGGTGACCGTGCCTGGGGGTCCCGGCACAGCTGCCGTGTACCTCTTGGGGCCCGAGTCTGGGCGGGGCCCTGCAGACGCGCAGGGGGTCAGTGAGAGTGTGCTCTGTCACCCAGGGTCCTGCAGAACTGTCACGATGACGCCGCCAAGTTCGTGCACCTGCTCGTGAGCCCCGGCTGCAGCTACCTGGTGCAGGAGGACTTCGTGCCCTTCCTGCAGGTGCGTGCCCCTCTTCCGTGTGTCCCCGCTGTGTACCGCACACGCCCCGATCCATGTGTCCCAGCCTGTGCACAAGCCCAGCACACGCATGTCCCGTCTCCGCCACTCGCACCCCCATCCCTTTCACAGGTACATCCCTATGCCTACACCTGCGTGTGGGAGCCTGGCTCTCTGCCCATGGGGGCTGCGTCTGCTGTGTGGGAGCCTGGTCTCTGCCCTCGGGGGGCCGCCTCCGCTGTGTGGGAGCCTGGCTCTCTGCCCTCGGGGGGCTGCCTCCGCTGTGTGGGAGCCTGGCTCTCTGCCCCTGGGGGCTGCCTCCGCTGTGTGGGAGCCTGGCTCTCTGCCCCTGGGGGCTGCCTCCGCTGTGTGGGAGCCTGGCTCTCTGCCCCTGGGGGCTGCCTCCGCTGTGTGGGAGCCTGGCCTCTGCCCTCGGGGGGCTGCCTCCGCTGTGTGGGAGCCTGGCTTTCTGCCCCTGGGGGCTGCCTCCGCTGTGTGGGAGCCTGGCTGTCTGCCCCTGGGGGCTGCCTCCACTGTGTGGGAGCCTGGCTCTCTGCCCCGCGGGGGGCCACCTCCCTGAGCTGAGCCTGTGCAGCCGCTCGGGAGCCGTGTGAGACGTGGTACGGAGTGCACGGCTCCACCCCTGAGCCTGGGCGCCTGGACTAGGATGGGCACTGCGCCATTGTGTGCCAGGCCGTCACGGACTGGGTCGGGGTTTGCAGGACGCTTGTTCCAAATACCTTTCTGCTTCCTTTAAGCACAACTTGTTCAGGACTTCATGGTCCATTCTCTGGAGGAGAGTTTAAAGTGATAGCTGGCTACCTATGGAACAGGCAAAGCTACGCAGAGGATGTGAATGAGAGCGATTTAAAGGGCTCCCGGGATTGTCGTCCTTTATCACAGGAGGATGTGTCACATACTCCTCAGAACCTGGGATGCACCTGCACGCTGGTGTTTGCGTGTTTATACGTGTCAGGTCACCCTTGGTCATGAGAGGCCGTGACAGTCGCTGTCGTTTAAGCCCCTGTCCTTCCTCAGACGTGGCCTGATGGCTCAGTACAGTAGCTATCTGGTGTGATTTCATGTAACCGTGTCTTCGAGGGGACTCCATGGGGGCGGCTCTGGGCCTGCCTGCGCGACCGTGAGTTTCCACTGGATATGTGGGTTCTTGTCCCCGGGGCCTGTGGGTGGTCCCACGGCGCGTCCCAGGGTCGGTCCTGTCTGTCCGCAGGACGTGGTGAACACGCACCCCGGCCTGGCGTTCCTGAAGGAGGCGGCCGAGTTCCATTCCCGCTACATCACCACGGTGAGTGCCGTGTTCGCAGCCAGCACGCCCGCTTTCTCAGCAGGGTCCGGTGTCTGTGGTCCTTTTTTCTGGGGTGCAGGAGGGATGAGGGGTGTGGCCCCATGGCACGTCGCCAAACCCCAGGGTCAGATGGGGCGCAGGTCCCAGCAGGCGAGGGCACGTCCAGAGATCCTGCGGCCTGCCGCCATGGGCAGTGGGGCTTCAGGGGTTCAGAGCATCAGGCGAGGGCGCTCAGCATGTGGCATGGGCCCCACCTGGGGACACAGAACCGCAGCCCAGGCCCCGCACCTGCCCTGGGCCGGGGTCACTTGGGGTAACCGCACCTGGGGGAAGGGCGCTCACGCACACACACGGCCTGGCTCTGGGTGCAGGTGTGTGGCCTGGAAGCCCCGGGCACGTGGGCTGGGAGCACATTTGTCCTGCAGCACGGAGTGCACACGTGTGGGCAGGGCAGTCGCACGCAGGGGGAGGGGACGCCCGCGGGGCGGGGGGAGGGGGCGGGGCGGGGCGGGGCACTCGGGAGGGCAGGGCAGGGTGTGAGGACTCAAGTGGAGGGGGTGTCCAGGAGGGGACGGGGTGTCCCGGGAGGAGAGGGACAGGTGAGGGGGACAGGGGAGGGGACGGGGGAGGGGACGCCCAGGAGGAGGGGACAGGGGAGGGGGCGCCCAGGAGGAGGGGACAGGGGAAGGGACGCGGGAGGGGACGGGGAGGGGGCGCCCAGGAGGAGGGGACAGGGGAGGGGACGGGGGAGGGGACAGGGGAGGGGGCGCCCAGGAGGAGGGGACAGGGGAGGGGACGCGGGAGGGGACAGGGGAGGGGGCTCCCCGGGTGGACTCTGCGGAGGGTGGTCCTGGCCTAGTGCACTGCAGTCTGGGACACAGGGGGCGCCCTGCCCTGCCCTGCCGGCCTCCGAGTGCAGGGGCGGGGGCCGTGCTCTAGGCTTTGAACTCTAGCTCTCCCGGCGTTCGGTCAGGTGCTCGCGGAGGGTCGGAGCGGGCTTTCTATCCATGCTGAGGGCTTCCCGCCCCTCAAAGCTGCTGTGTCCTCCCCCTCCAGCCCGAGGGCGGCCCGCTCACGGCAAGGGGCGGCTTCCACTGCACCGGGTCACCCCCGCCCGGGTCCGCCTGCCCGGGTGTGCCCCCTGCACCGAGGGCAACTTCCGCCGCACCGGGGTCCCGCCCCGCCCCCGCCCCCGCCCCCGGATCCCGCGGGCCTCCTTCCGGACCCTCCGCCGTTGCTGGGCGGCCGCCCTCTGCTGGCGGCTCGCGGCCCTGCAGCGCATGGTCCGAGTCCCTGGTGAGGCCTCCCAGGGGATCACAGGGAGTGGCTGGCGGGCTCACACGTGGGCCTCCCGTGGAACCTGCAGCGCCCACATCACTGTGTGGGGCTGACGTGCTCCCCTCCGTCCCCCGCAGGTCATCCAGAGGATCTTCTACACCGTCAACAGGTCCTGGTCTGGCAGGATCACATGTGCCGAGCTCCGGAGGAGCACCTTCCTGCAGGTGCCGCCGCGCGGGGCGCAGGATGGGTACCCCCACCTCCACCTGCCCCCCCTTCCCCCGGCCCAGGCGGGTCCCCACCCCTCCCCCATCCATCCGTCCACCCACCCGCCCCTTAATCCTCCCCCGGCTGCAGAGGCGGTCTTCCTGTAGCTGCGTGCCGCGCGGGGTGCAGGACGGGGACCCCCGCCTCCACCCGCCCCCCCTTCCCCCGGCCCGGGCGGGTCCCCACTCCTCCCCATCCATCCGTCCACCCACCCAGACATCCATGCAGCCTCCTACACATCCACCACCTCCCCCCCGCACCCACCCACCCATCTGCCCCTCATCGGTCATCTCCCATCCTGTCGTCTGTCCACCCAGAGCCGTCCCTCCATCCTCCTCCCCTCCTTCCCTCTCCCCCGTCCGTCAGCTTCTCACGTCGTGTCTGTGACCTGTCCTGACGCGGGTGCACCCCTGACCTGATTGCCCCTCCTGGCCCCCACGCGGTCTTGCCCTTCTCTGACCCTGCCTCCGCACGATCCGGGATCTGGGCCCCGTCCCCACTGGACGGCCTGTTTGCACTCCGGGCCCTGGAGTCTCCGCTGGCAGTTCTCTGGTTTGTCCTGCAGAACGTGGCTCTTCTGGAGGAGGAGGCAGACATCAACCAGCTGACGGAGTTCTTCTCCTACGAGCACTTCTACGTCATCTACTGCAAGTTCTGGGAGCTGGACACGGACCACGACCTGCTCATCGACGCACAGGACCTGGCCCGGCACAATGACCACGGTGAGCTCTGCACCCGCAGGGGGTGGGGCCGGGGCGGGGCTCGGGCTCCTGGTCTCGAGAGCAGCCGCCGCTGCCCCCACGCCACCTGACCCCCCACCCTCGGGGCCTGCACCCAGACTGCTGCCGGACCTGCTGCGGGACGCGGGAGACGGGGACACACACAGGGGACTCGGCCACGTGGTGTCAGGGGCGCCGTCACGGGGGGCGTGGACCCCGAGATCTCCAGCACTTGGCGGCTCCCCGCGGAGCCCCTCTCATTCCCCCAACTCTTCCCATCCCCGGTTCCCATGTGTGTCCCTGAGGAGGAGCCACCCCCGCCGGCATCTCAGGCCAGGTCGCCTGATGGCTCAGTGGGGGCCAGTCGGTGGGTCAGCACAGACCTCACAGCGCCTGTTCCCACGGGGAGGCGCCTGTTCGTGCAGGGGCGCTGCGTCCACCTCTTGCTCTGTCCCTGGTGCTGCCTGCTGCCAGGCCCTCTGGTGCCTGCCGGTGGGGGCACGGCGCCACCTGGACACCGAGTCCCAGCTCAGGGCCTCATGGCCGCAGCAGGTGGGCTGGTGGCGGCAGGCCCGGAGTCGGCCATCCTTCCTGGAGTCAGCCTGTTAACAGCAGAGACATGTTTCCCAGGGAGGCTTCGCTTCCAACCTCCGGGTTTGACCCAAGAGCCTTTGTGTCTCCTCATGACAGAAAGGCTGGGAAAGGTAAATCCCAGCCTCCCCACGTTTTGGGAGCAGCAATGAGGAATCCAGTGTAAATGCTTTTTTTTTAAAGTTCATGTTTTAATTGAAGGATTATTGCTTTACAAAATTGTGTTGGTTTCTCCCAAACCTCAACATGAGTCAGCCGTAGGTACACACATGTCCCATGCCTCTTGAACCTCCCTCCCCATCCCACCCCTCTAGGTTCTCACAGAACCCTGGTTTGAGTTCCCTGCACCTCCCTTTATAAGAAATCAAATGTTCAGGGTACGCAAAATGGGCTAAAATTTACCTGTGGTAGATTTCTAGTTTTGTCAGCTATTTCTTTAAAACTGTAGGTTTCGATGTAATGGGTTTTCAGGTAGTTGCAGCCACGAGCGTGTTTCTGAATTATTTGGGCATTCGTTTGTGGTCAGTGTGGCCTGGATGGGCCCCCGAGGTCAGCCCCCCAGGTCAGCCACCTGCTCCCCAAATCCCTCAGGCTGGTCCCCCCGGGGGCCCCGCGATCATGGCACGTGGACGCCTGAGTGTCCCTGGTACGTGGGTCCCTCTCAGTTCGACTGCTGTTCTTGACTCTGACCCGCGCCATGAGATCGGGGCAGGCCTTAGTGGCCGGGATGCGCTCATGCGGCCGTGAGGCGCCCCACCTCCTGGCCCAGGGCTGGTTCCCACACCCCCGGGGCCTCCTGTGCGCCTGTCTGCTTCTCCCGTCCGTCGGCCCATCAGCCGCTGTTGGGGGTCTGTCCCCACTCGGGGCCGCTTGCTGGGGTCTTCGTGGCTGCGTCTGTCCTTGGGACACTAGTGGCCCTGGGGACAGTGGTCTTGCTGGACGGGATAGGACACGGGGTGGTTTCAAGTACAGTGTCCCCGTGTGCCCATGAGCTGCGTCAGCTGCGGGTTTCTGCCCGGGCCCAGTAGGGCTTGCCCTCCCGCATGGAGAGGAATGGGCCGGGGCGTAGCTGATCGGTCGAGTGGCTTTACTGCTGTCACGTTGCCAGGTGTGGGAGCGTGTCTAGTCTGTTCTAGTTCCCTGGAGCTGCTCTCGTGTGTGTGGGGGAACCCTCAAAGAACAGGAAGTTATCCTCCCAGTTGTGACACCGGAGATCCGAAATGAACTTGTTGATGAAGGCCCAACACCCATGAGGGCCGTGAGGGTTACCTGAGGCAACTGTAACAGGCCCACAAATGGGGGCTCGACACCTATCCTCCCCCAGTCCTGGGGACTGACCACCCACCCTCCCCAGTCCTGGGCACCAGACGTCTGAGGTCAAGGGGTCCCAGGGCCGAGCTCCGGCCAGAGTCTCCAGGGGAGGGTCCTCCCCGCCTCTTCCAGCTTCTGGGGGCTCCAGGCGTCCATCCCTGGGCTGGTGGCCGCCTCCCTCCCGTCCCCGCCTCCGTCTCCACAGGGCTTCTGCTCTGTGTCACTGTCTCTCCTCTTCTGTGTCTTATAAGGACCCTGTCCCTGGGTTTAAGGCCACCCCCATCCAGGAGGACCTCATCTCAGACCTTCACTCCATCACATCTGCAGAGACCCTGTTTTCACATAAGATCCATTTCCCACGCCAGGAGGCAGGATGTGGATGTATCTCTTTGGAAAACCCCGTTCAACCTCTGATACCATCCAGTCGTTTCCTCTCAGAGGAGACTTAGTGAGCCAGGATGAATTGTGGGGAGAGGACATTTTGTCTTTATTTCCCCATTTTTGTGGTTACTTAAGTATGGGCTGAAAAGTGTCCCCAAGATTAATATACTTGAGTTGTCACCCTTGAGATTTCAGGAGGTGGCCATCTTTGGACATGGTCTTTAAACAGGGGATAAAGGTGAAATGAGGTCACTAGGCTGGCCCTGATCCCACAGGACTGGGGTCCTGATAACAGGAGGTCGGGACCCAGACACCCACATGAGCGCGTGAGGAGTCGAGGAGACGCCGCCCACACGCACGGGAGGAGCCAGCCCTGCCCACACCTGGGGCTCCGACACCAGCCTCCAGGACCGTGTGGGGCGAGGATCGCCATGTGCCGTTTAAGCCAGCCCGTGTGGTGCTCCATCTTACAGCCCCGGCCTTGCACTGTTTCTGCCTTGAATGTGGTTGACGCACATCGGGGTTCTGATCACAAGTGTGTTGTGTGTTTGGGGGCAGAGCCCGTGCAGTGTGAACGTGTGTTCTGCCATCCACACCCCGCTCGTTCCTGGAGCCCCCGGGCCAGCACCTCCCTCTGCAGCTTGGACTCTGGCTCAGGTCGCGGGACTGGGTGGGTTTCCCCAGTGGCTCAGCTGGTTTAAGAACCCGTCTGCCAATGCAGGAGACGCAGGAGACTCGGGTTAAATTCCTGGGTGGGGAAGATCCCCTGGAGAGGGAAATGGCGACCCACTCCAGTGTTCTTGCCTGCAGAATCCCATAGACAGAGGAGCCTGGTGGGCTACAGTCCATGGGGTTGCAAAGAGTTGGACACGACTGAAACAACTTAGGACACAGGTGTGTTCACCCGCTCAGTCGTGTCTGACTCTTTGTGACCCCGTGGACTGCAGCACGCCAGGCCTCCGTGTCCATCACCAACTCTTGGAGTTTACCCAAACTCATGTCCGTTGAGTCGGTGATGCCATCCGACCGTCTCATCCTCGGTCGTCTCCTTCTCCTCCTGCTTTCAGTCTTCCCCGGCATCAGGGTCTTCTCCCATGAGTCAGCTCTTCGCATCAGGTGGCCAAAGGACTGGAGCTTCAGCTTCAGCATCAGCCCCTCACTGCACATTCAGGGCTGATCTCCTTGAGGGTGGACTGGCTGGATCTCCTTGCAGCCCTTGAGCAGCACGCACACACACCCACACACACACACTCAGGCCTGGGAAAAGCACCAGGTGGTGTCTGAAGAGGCGTGTGCAGGAAATTCAGGCCCCCAGGGTCCCACTCAGCCAGACCTGGGTCTCCAGGTTCAGCCCGGAGCCCGCCCGGCCGCGTCGGGCACCAGGACCCCCGCGGGGCTCACGGCCCGACTCCTCTTTTGCAGCTATTTCCACCAAGATGATCGACCGGATCTTCTCCGGAGCCGTGACGCGGTGCGTGCCAGCGGGCTCCCAGCAGGGATGCGCTGGTTTTCCCGGGAGCATCCGGCCCTGCCTGTCACTCCTGACGGGGGCGGGCGTATTCTGAGGCGCCTGAGGTCATGACTTAGGAGCACGTGTATAGGGTTTTGCCATATGATGAGGTCACAGATAACGGGGACATACGCCATGGTCACAGGAAGTCACGAGTAAGAGGCACACGTGTGCCATTCACGTAAGGTCATACATAAAGGACACGCGTCTTTGTCATGTGAGGGCATGTGTAAAGGACACGTGATTGTCACACGTGTGACATCAGAAGTTACGGGCACACATAGCATGCTCTTGCCATGTGACGCCACGCGTGAGGGGGGCACAGGCTCTGTGTGACTGGTCGAGGTGGCTCTGAGCCGGGCAGGTTCTTCTGCCCCGAGAGAACCTCCCCTGTGCCCACAGAGCCTCTCTCAGGCCCCTCCAGGTGGGAACCAGGCCAAGACTGGGCCCCTGCAGGGCCCCCATCACCTGTGGGTGTGAGCAGGGGCCTGAGCTTCAGGCGGCTTCTCCCTGACACTGCCTTTGTCTCTCGATTCCGCTCCGGAATCCAGAGGGAAAAAAGTGCAGAAGGAAGGAAAAATCAGCTATGCGGACTTTGTGTGGTTTCTGATCTCCGAGGAGGACAAGAAGACTCCCACCAGGTGGGTGTCCGGGGCCCGTGCTCTGCTCAGGCTGTTAGGACCCTCGCAAGAGGAGCCCAGCGGGCACCCAGTGGTGAGGGCGCCCCCTGAGGCCTGTCCATGTGAGGTCGTCTCTGAGCGGTTCACATGGGTGGAGTGGTCCTGGGGGTGGGGTCTGTACACGTGCGGGTCGCCCTGGTCGGAGCGGGTCTGGGCGGTCGGCCGTCGCGGCCACAGCCTTGAGCACTGGTCCCGCGGGTGGGGTCGCCCTGGTCGGAGCGGGTCTGGGCAGACGGCATTCACGGCGGACGTGTGACCCCCGCGGCCGCAGCATCGAGTACTGGTTCCGCTGCATGGACTTGGACGGGGACGGGGCGCTGTCCATGTTCGAGCTGGAGTACTTCTACGAGGAGCAGTGCCGGCGCCTGGACAGCATGGCCATCGAGGCCCTGCCCTTCGAGGACTGCCTCTGCCAGATGCTGGACCTGGTGAAGCCCCAGAGGGAAGGTGCTGTGCGGGGCGGGGCCCTGGGGAGGGGGCCCCACGGGGGAGGGGCACCCAGGGGGTGCCCTAGGGGAATAGGGTTGCCCCCAGGGGGAATGGGGCTCAGCCTGGTGGGGGTTCCCCAGGGAAGTGGGGCACCCTGCGGTGGGGAACACCCCAGGGAGGGGGACAGCCCAGGGGGCGTGCCCTCTAGAATGGGGTGCTCCTGGGGAGGGGGACACCCCAGGGGGTAGGGAGCCCCAGGGGAGGTGTGTGCCCGGCCTCAGAGAGGGTAGCGTCCAGGGCAGGTCAAGTGTGGTCTCCTGTAACCGAGCACCACCCAGTTGCAGTTACTGGGGGTGGACGCGGCCCTCGCAGCCCCACCCTCAGCCCTCACGTGTGACCGCTGGGGTGGAAGCGGCCCTCGCGGCCCCGCCCTCAGCCCTCACGTGTGATGGGCCGTCCTGGGGGCTGTGCGCCCCGGGCTGGGGACGGTGGCCCCCGATCCCAGTCTTGTTTCTCTGCCGTCCTCGGTCCTTGTCCACCGGGACCCCCGTGTGGGCGGTGCGAGGGCCCCCTGCGCTGGACTGCCTTTCTCAGGCCCGATGCCGTGGCCCCGGGCTTGGTTTGGTTGATCTGGGCACTGGGGTGCACGGTGGGCGCATCCCAGGGGACGCTCGGGACGCCTGCCAATGTCACAGGAAGGCTCTGCCTCCAAGTCGAAGGCCTGGGTGTCCTGTGTCCTGGGAACCCAGTCTCGGGTGTAGTCTGCTGCGGACTCGTCCTGATCACCCTTTTGCCCTGCCCGGGTTTCCTCCTGATCCGTGTCCGCGGTCCAGGGCAGCTCGGGCCCCACCGTCGAGGTGACGCGTGTGGGCCCCCTGTGACCCCGACGCCCCCTCGGGCACACAGGGCCCTGGTCCCCCAGCCACCTTCCAGGCTCCCACCACCCCGGGCGCACTCCTGTGGCCGGGCTGGCGGCAGCGCGCACGGCGCTGTGCCTGACGGCGTGTGGCTGTGCACGTGCGAGGGGACTGGGTGCCTCGGGGTGTCTGGGAGCCACGCATGCTCAGAGCCGCCCGCGTGTGCTCACGACATCCCTGCGCGCCCATGACCCGCCCTGCGCCCAGGAGCCCTCCTCCGCGCGCCAGTGAGCCGCCTCACGCAGCCATGAGACCCCTCCGCGCTTCCCCCGCAGTTGCCCTGAGAACTCAGGCCCCGCGCCCCCCACGCCCCTGACCCGCGCGCTCATTGCCACACCCCCGAAGATCCCTCTGCACCCCCACCCGCGCGCTCACAGCTGTCCCCGAAGTCCCCTCCATGCACCCCCACCCGCGCGTTCATGGCCGCGCCCCTCACGCAGGGAGGATCACGCTGCAAGACCTGAAGCGCTGCAAGTTGGCCAACGTGTTCTTCGACACCTTCTTCAACATCGAGAAGTACCTGGACCACGAGCAGAAAGAGCAGGTGTCCCTGCTCAGGGTGAGTGGCGGGTGATGGGGAGGCCGTGGGGGGAGGGGGGCCGTGGGGGAGGGGCGCCGGGCCGCCCCCAGACGACCACAGTGCGCTCCCTCCGCCGTCCGCAGGAGAGCGAGGGCGAGGGCCCCGAGTTGTCTGACTGGGAGCGCTTCGCTGCCGAGGAGTACGACATCCTGGTGGCCGAGGAGGCCGCAGGGGACCCCTGGGAGGACGGGTGAGTGCTCGGGGGGCGGAGAAGTGGGTCTCGGGAGGAGGCGGGGCCAGGGCCGGGGGCCAGGGAGCCGGACTGCCCGCTGGCGCAGTGAGGACACCACGTCTGGCTGCCACTTCTGGGGAGGGTGTCCAAGGGACTGCGGCCCCCCCCCCCCCCCCCCCCCCCCCAGCGAGGGTGGGCACCCTCTGACTCCGAACTGCCGCCTGGTCCTGCCCTGGGTGTCCAGCCTCAGCGCCCTGACTCTGGGACCTTATTCTGCTGAGTCAGGCCTTCCCCCAGCCCGTGGAGGGTCCTGCCAGGGCCCCTGCGTGGCACCTCCCAGGGCTCCATCTACCCTCTGGGGATGGCACCCGCAGGCCGCCGAAGGGCGCAGACCCAACACGGGGGGACGGGGCTGCGCAGCTGAGCAGCTGGTCCGCCTGTCCTGCCCGCACGTGTTGCGGGCGCACGGCTGCTCAGCGGGCGTGGGGGGCGGGCGCTGTCCTCACGGCCCCTCCCCGCAGGTACGAGGCTGAGCTCAGCCCCGTGGAGCAGAAGCTCAGCGCCCTGAGGTCCCCGCTGGCTCAGAGGCCCTTCCTGGAGGCGCCGGGCGGCCTGGGCGCCGTCGAGCTCTACGAGTACGAGGGTGGGGACGACGACCTGCCGCGCTCATGACCCGCGGCCCGCTCGGGGTCCCCGCGGCCCGCTCGGGGTCCCCGCGGCCCGTGGGTGGGAAACGCGGCCTCCCCAAGTGCAGTGCGTCTGTCTCTGGTGCGTGCGTCTTTATTCAGCACAGAAGCGGCTGCACTCCGCCCCGCGATGCCTCCCCGCCGGCCTCCCCAGCGGGCAGGTGGCCTTGGCGCACTGCCCCGCCCAGGTGCTTGGAGGCTCCCCGTCGCAGACGGTTCACCCCGGTGGGAACCCAGCGGCGCTGTGGCGGGTTTGCCCGGGCCGTCCCAACGCTGACCCTGGGCCGGCTGTGTCAGCAGGAACATTCCAGGAGCCCCTGCGCGCGCTGTCCCGCAGGGCCCCTGTGGGGAGGCCGCCCCGGCCCCAGTCCCTGCCCCGGCCAGGGCCGAGGGAGCACCCAGGTCAGTGCGGCCCAGCGTTTCTGTGTACGTGTACAAAATGTGTAAAGTTACCTTCTATTTGCTGTGCAGAGCGGTTTAAAGAGTTTTATGAGATCACGTTTGTATTTTGAAATAAAGAATTTAAGGATTTTCAGCCCGATGCTCTCACTTCGAGACCAAACGAGACACAGTAGCGGGGTATCCTGAACGCGGGTCACAGACGGACGCGGCATGGACATGGGGTCCCCACAGGGAGACCACGGGGCGCACAGGCCCCCCCGGACGTGGAGCCACCGGGCGAGGGTCCCAGGCTGGGGCCCCAGAGTCCTGAGCCATGCAGCCCGCTCTCTGGCCATGGCAGTCCCCCCACGGGGCCCCCAGAGCGGTGCGCCTGCTCTCTGAACACCGCAGTCCCCGCACGGGTGCGCGGGTCACAGGCCAGGGCCCCAGAGCCGTGCAGCCCGCTTTCTGGTCATGGCGGCCCCCCTCCATGGCCCCGGGCGGCCGCCTCTCCTGAGGTCACTTCTGACCTGTGCACGGCAGGGTGCGAGCCTCCCCTGCAGACACCACGCCATGGGAGACCGGACGGCCGGCTTCCACGCCGCTCTGCCCACCCCCGGGTCCAGCACCGCTCCATGCTTCGGCACCAGCCCGAGATTCCAGGGGAGGGTGGGCTCCCTCGTGTCCAGTGGAGGTAGCCGAGGAGCGGCCCCCCACCAGGTCTTGGGCAGGCCATTTCAGGTCTGGGCACCAAGCGGGCCTCGCTGAGGGTCCCTCCCTCTGCAGCTGGACCGCCCCTGCCGGACACGGGCGCTCCAAGAGCGGGTGGGGCGGCGAGAGCTGGAGTGGGGGTCCCTCACGCCGGGCCACGTGGGCCTAGCCGCCCCGCCGTCCGGAGGGCAGGCTCCACAGCCTCCCTGGGAAAGGCTCCGGGCGTCCCCGGGAGACGGGTGTGGCCACCATCTCCTCCGACCGCACAGACAGGCTGGTCGTTCCCCTCGGCTGCCAAGTCCCCCGAGGGACCCACCTCATCTCCCGACTCATCCCGCGGAGAGGCAGAGGCCGGAGGTCAGCGGAGAGGAAGACCCAGCTCAGAGACCGTGGAGAAAGAAAACCTGGTGAGAACCTGTCGACCGGGGGTTAGAGATTGAAGAGATAAGAACCCACCCAACCCGCTGCAAAAGGAAGACTGAAAAGGCCATCTGGGAAAATGTGTGAAAGGACAACCAAGTCTCCCTCGTGTCAGGAGGTGGACACGGCCGGTCTCCTGACGGGGACTTCTTCCTGGGGGTGGCGGCGGGAGCGGGGCGGGGGGCGGGGAGCGGGTGACAGTGACCAGCAGACACCCCCGCCTGCCCACCTCTGCCTGCCTTCCAGCTGCAGATCCATCCGCCCATCCTTCCTCCTTCCCCCTACCCATCTGCTCAGCCAGACGCCTGCCCCGCCCACCTGTCCGTCCATGCGTCCATCCATACATCTGTGCAATCATCCGTATCTATCCATGCCTGTCCACACCTCCCCTTCTACCTCTGTCCACCCACCCATCCTTCCTTCTGCCTGTCCACCCACGCACCCATTCCTGTGTGTACCTTTCTGTCCGTTTACCTGTATAGCGGCCCACGCCTCCATGTAGCTGTCCATCCCACCCAGCCCCCAGTCCATCAGAACCCCTGGGGCCCTATTGGGAAGGCTCACGCAGCATCTGGGACCTCCGAGGGTGGGTGGGTGGGGTTGAGCATTGGACACCCACTGTCAAGTTCGGGTCTGGTGGAGATGAGCTTCGACCTCTCAGGCCGGATTTGGGACCCCCCTCAGGGCTGCACTCAGCCCACTCCCCCACCAAGGCAGGCTCTGGGGTCCCCAAGAAGAGAATGGAGCCCCCACGGCAGGGTTTGAGGCACTCCAGGGGTAGAACGGGACCCCAAAGCAGGGTTCAGGACCTCTGAGGACCCCAGTAACACCCCCCGCACAAGGAAAAATCTTGGGCTCTGGGGGTGCAGTCCCAGACTCGGGCTACCCAGGCAGACGTCATACTCCCCAGAGTCAGGACACTTCAAGGCCAAATTTGGAGCCTGTGAGCCACACTTGGACATCACCAGATGGTCGACACAGAAATCAGATTGATTATATTCTTTGCAGCCAAAGATGGACAAGCTCTATACAGTCAGCAAAAACAAGACCAGGAGCTGACTGTGGCTCAGATCTTGAACTTCTTATTGCCAAATTCAGACTGAAATTGAAGAAAGTGGAGAAAACCACTAGACCATTCAGGTATGACCTAAATCAAATCCCTTATGACTATGCAGTGAAAGTGAGAAATAGATTTAACAGACAAGATCTGATAGACTGAGTGCCTGATAAACTATGGACGGAAGTTCGTGACATTGTACAGGAGACAGGAATCAAGACCATCCCCAAGAAAAAGAAATGCAAAAAAGCAAAATGGCTGTCTGAGAAGACCTTACAAATAGCTGTGAAAAGAAGGGAAGTGAAAAGCAAAGGAGAAAAGGAAAGATATACCCATTTGAGTACAGAGTTCCAAAGAATAGCAAGGAGAGATAAGAAAGCCTTCCTCAGCAAACAATGCAAAGAAAGAGGAAAACAATAGAATGGGAAAGATTAGAGATCTCTTCAAGAAAATTAGAGGTACCAAGGGAACATTTCATGCAAAAACGGGCTCAATAAAGTACAGAAATGGTAGGGACCTAACAGAAGCAGAAGATATTAAGAAGAGGTGGCAAGAACATAGAAGAACTGTACAAAAAAAAAATCTTCACAACCCAGATAATCACGATGGTGTGATCACTCACCTAGACCCAGATATCCTGGAATGTGAAGTCAAATGGGCCGTAGGAAGCATCACTAGGAACAAAGCTAGTGGAGGTGATGGGATTCCAGTTGAGCTATTTCAGTTCCTGAAAGATGATGTGAAAGTGCTGCACTCAATATGAAAAGGTCAGTTTTCATTCCAATCCCAAAGAAAGGCAGTGCCAAAGAATGTTCAAACTACCACACAATTGCACTCATCTCACACGCTAGTAAAGTACTGCTCAAAATTCTCCAAGCCAGGTTTCAGCAATATGTGAACCGTGAACTTCCAGATGTTCAAGCTGGTTTTAGAAAAGGCAGAGGAACCAGAGATCAAATTGCCAATATGCACTGGATCATCAAAAAAGCAAGACAGTTCTAGAAAAACATCTATTTCTGCTTTATTGACTATGCCAAAGCCTTTGACTATGTGGATCACCATAAACTGGAAAATTCTGAAAGACATGGGAATACCAGATCACCTGACCTGCCTCTTGAGAAACGTGTATGTAGGTCAGGAAGCAACAGTTAGAACTGAACATGGAACAACAGACTGTTTCTAAATAGGAAAAGGAATATGTCAAGGCTGTATATTGTCACCCTACTTATTTAACTTATATGCAGAGTACATCATGAGAATATATGCAGAGTACATCATGTGGAGAAAGCACAGGCTGGAATCAAGATTGCCGGGAGAAATAGCAATAACCTCAGATATACAGATGACACCACCCTTATGGCACAAAGTGAGGAAGAACTAAAGAGCCTCTTGATGAAAGTGAAAGAGGAGAGTGAAAAAGTTGGCTTAAAGCTCAACATTCAGAAAACTAAGATCATGGCGTCTGGTCCCATCACTTCATGGCAAATAGATGGGGAAACAGTGGCTGACTTAATTTTTCTGGGCTCCAAAATCACTGTAGACAGTGATTGCAGCCATGAAATTAAAAGACCCTTGCTCCTTGGAAGAAAAGCTATGACCAACCTAGACTGCATATTGAAAAGCAGAGACATTAACTTTGTCAACAAAGGTCTGTCTAGTCATGGCTATGATTTTTCCAGTAGTCATGTATGGATGTTAGAGTTGAACTATAAAGAAAGCTAAGCACCGAAGAATTAATGCTTTTGAACTGTGGTGCTGGAGAAGACTCTTGAGAGTCCCTTGGACTGCAAGGAGATCCAACCAGTCCATCCTAGAGGAGATCAGTCCTGGGTGTTCATTGGAAGGACTGATGCTGAAGATGAAACTCCAATACTTTGGCCACCTGATGCGAAGAGCTGACTCATTTGAAAAAACCCTGATGCTGGGAAAGATTGAGGGCAGCAGGAGAAGGGGAAGACAGAGAATAAGATGGTTGGATGGCATCGCCAACTCAATGGTCATGGGTTTGGGTGAACTCCAGGAGTTGGTGATGGGCAGGGAGGCCTGGCATCCTGCGGTTCATGGGGTCTCAAAGAGTCGGACACGACTGAACAACTGAACTGAACTGAGCCACACACATCCCCAAGGCAGGGTTCAGGATTCGGGGGGACCTCTGTGGACCCCCCAGGGCCACAGTCGAGCCACCAGCGTACACTTCAGAACTGTGGAGCGGGTGCGGAGCCCGAAGCAGGGTTCAGGGTACCCCTCCAGTCAGACTCCAGGCCCCAAGGCAGGAGCTGGGAACTCCGGGTTAGGGGGCGCACTCGGACGCTCAAGTCAGAGCTCCGGGCTCCTGAGCGCTGAACCAGAAGCCCAGACCGCCGGCCCCGCACGGAGGCTGGAGTGGGGCCGGGCTTGGGGGCGCGGCGCGGCTCGGCTCCGGCGCTACACGCCGGGGGAGGTTACAGAGAGCATCCCCAGCACAGAGAGCCGCGTGCCGGGCGACACCGCCCGAACCCGCCTCGACCGGCACTCGCGCCCACCAATCAGGCGGCGGCAGCGGCGATCACGTGATCCCGGGGACCAATGGGCAGCCTGTAAGGGAGCTGGGTCCGCCCCGGAGCCCCGCCCTGTTGCCTCGGGAGACCAGTGGGCAGCCGGCACGGGGGGAGGCTCCGCCCTATTGACTCGGGCGACCAATGGGCAGCGGCAAGGGAGCTGGGTCGTCCTCCCCAAGGCCCCGGCCTATTGACCTGGGTGAACGACCGGCAGCAGGCAGGAGAGTTGGCTCCGCTCTGACGCCCCGCCCTGCTGCGCAGAGGCGCGCGGGATGTGGGCCTTGCGGGCCGCCGTCCGCGGGGGCACCTGGCTCTCTCGCGCGGTTCGCGGCTGCCGGCCCCCAAGGGCCGCGCTGCTGCCGCCGCCGCCCCACCCCGAGCGCGCCGTCGCCGCTCTCCGCGGGGGCCTGGGGTGCTCGGATGGGCGGGAGGGTAGAGGGCGGAGCCCACGTGCGGATGGCCGGAGAAGCCTGGCTGACGCGGAGGAGGAGCCCGAAGATGCGGAGGAGGACGAAGACGAGGAGGAGCTGCTGAGGACGGACCCGCTGCTGCCGGCGGGGGCACAGCGCGTGTGCCTGGTTCACCCTGAGGTCAAGTGGGGGCGCGGGAAGCCGCAGGGTACCCGAGGTGACCAAGAGCGCTGGGGGCAGGCGGGGGCGGGCGCGGGCGGAGCGAGGAGGCTTGACCTTAAGGGGCGGGGAAGCCGGCGCCCCGGAGGCGGAGCTTATGGGGGCGACACTCCGGGAGCAGGAGCTCGCAGGTCGGGGACGCCAGAGGCCGGGCTTCTGGAGCGTGCCTCGAAGGCCTTAGCTCATAGGTTGAGGCTTTGGGGGCGTGGCTCCGGAGGCGGGGATTCTGGAGGCGTATTCCGAAGGCCGAAACTCATTGGTCGGGCCTTCTGGGGGCGGGGCGCCGGGGGCGGGGTTTCTGGGGCCTGCCTCCGAGGCTGCAGCGGGTTAGGTGGGGCTTCTGAGGAGGACTCAGAGGGTGAACCGCGCACTCCCCCACTTGCTCCGGGAGCCCCCCCCCCCACCCCCCGCCTCCATGGGCCTGGAAACCCTCATTCTGGGCACAGGCGCCCTCCTGCTTTGCACGCAGCGAGCCCCTTTCCTTTTGAGCCGCTCCTGGGTGTCGCTCTGCCCTGCTCCCCCGGGGCCTCCCCATCCACAATGCAAACGATCCCAGCAACTCACGCGGGGTGCACGCGGGATGCCCCTCGGCTTTAAGCCTTTTATGGACCCGCTTTCTCTCTGCGCCGCTGAGTACTAAACCCGGAGATTGTGCACAGCCTTCTGTAGCAGAAACGGGAACCGGCTGAGCGCTGAGCGGGGCGGGGGCGCTTGTGGTCGCAGGGTGGAAGGGACCGGCTCCAGAGGGAGGCTGCCCTCCCGTGAGGCTCTGGCCACTGAGCTTCACACCTCACCTGGAGAACAAGCCGGGGCCCCGCACAGCTGTGCTCCGGGCCATCACCCCCAGGCTCCCAACCCCTTCAGACGTGCGCCAGCCCTGTCCACCCCGTCAGGGCTCAGAGCCACGGGGTGGCACCACTGCCTACGTGTCTGTTGTCCATCAGCTGCCTTGCGAGGGACCGGTCGGAGGAGAGACGAGGGCGGGGTGGGTCCTGACTGCCTTTGATCCACAGCCTGTGTCCCTACTGCTCTGGACTCTTGTCCTGGGTGGCCCCTGCCTCCCGCCGGCCCCATTATACCGACTGCTCAGGGCCACAGACCCTGGGTGGGCGCCTCCTTGCTCATGCTGGGCTCGGTAAGGGCAGCCACTGAGGGAGGCTGGAACTAGGCTCTGGTCACCCAGGACAGGACAGCCGCCCAGAACAGGACTCAGCCCACCCACATACAGGACGGCAGGCTCTGCGAGCCCTGGGAAGTTCACTGGAGATGCTGTCTAGTGGGTCACAAGGGATCCCGAGTCCCCACGGGGCAGACCTGCCCAATTCCAACATGGGGGGCTGTCCCTGTGTCCCCTGTTCAGCTCTGGCTCCCCTCCCCTCTCCTCCCTTCCCCGATCCTCAGTTCCCACTCCTGACCATCCACCCAGAAGAACAGATCTTCCTTTAAGCAAATGCCCATTCGGGTGCTTTCTGGGAACCTTCATGTGGCCAGGAAGCAGGAAGCCGTCCCAGCCTGGGGGCATGTGGGCCAGGACCCTGGGCAGGGCTGACCCGGCCGGAAGTGGCCCTCACACCAGCCCGTCTCTCCTAAGCCGAGTGGCAGGTGGCCGAGGCCCGAGCGCTGGTGTGCACGCTGGACGGCTGGTCTGTGGTGGACACGATGGTGGTGCCCACCAAGACGCCAGACAAGAAGCTCATCTTTGGCAGAGGGACCTTGGAGCAGCTTACGGGTGAGCCCTTCATCGCACGTGGCGCGAGCTCGACCGTCCCCCTGCGCCTCACCGAACTTGCATCAGGGGGCAGAAACCAGCGAGCCCGCCTCAGCATTCCAGTGAGACCGCAGCACTCAGGCCAGACTGCCGCCCCCTCTCAGTGCCCTGGGGGGTGTTCCTGCACGAGCCCCTTGCCCCTCTGTGGACCCTGACATCCCCCCCGCAAACCAGCGTCTGGTCCACAGCTCAGTGCAGGCAACACGCCGAGGGGCCCTCACCGCCTGTCTGTGTTCCTCTGAGTCTAGCATGGACGCAGTCCCCGCAGGCTCCCCAGACCCATGTGTGCACCAGACCTTGTCGCTCCGTCGCTCAGGCGTGTCCGGCCCTCTGCGACCCCCCGGACCGCAGCGCGCCAGGGCTCCCTGTCCATCCCCGTCTCCCGGAGCCTGCTCAAACTCCTGTGCATCGAGTCGGTGATGCCACCCAACCATCCCGTCCTCTGTCGTCCCCTTCTCCTCCCGCCCTCAATCTTTCCCAGCGTCAGGGTCTTTTCCGATGAGTCAGCTCTTCGCATCAGGTGGCCAGAGTACTGGAGCTTCAGCTTCAGCAGGCGTGAGACCTAGTTTCCTGGTCCTCCCTGACCCATGCTCCATGCTCCCTGAATACTGTGCTCGGAGACCCAAGGGATGCCCGGGGGACACAGCCGATCCAAGCGCAGGGTCACTCCCCAGACACACGTTGCGGGCGCAGGAGCCTCTGATCAGCCGTACTCTTTTGCTAGAGAGAATCAGAGGGTCGCCGGAAATCACTGCCGTCTTCCTGAATGTGGAGAGGCTGGCCACGCCCACCAAGGTACCACGGAAGCCTCGGGTCATCAGGTGTCAAGGAGCCTGGGCTCACAGCTCGTGCCCTCCCCGCCTCCCTCTCTGTTTTTTCTAGAGAGACCTAGAAGCCGCCTGGCATGTGCCGCTGTTTGACCGGTTCACCGTGGTTCTGCACATATTCCGCTGCAATGCCCGCACCAAGGAGGCACGGCTGCAGGTGGCGCTGGCGGAGCTCCCCCTGCTCAGGTGCGAGCAGGACCCGGGCCGGGTCAGACGGACCCCCCCCACCCCCCCACCATCAGACCCTCTCTACGGATCCCGCCACCGGGACCCTCTCTAGGGAACCCCCCCACACCCACCCAACACTCTCTAGGGATCACCCCCCCCCGGGACCCCTCTCTAGGAACCCCCATCCGGGACCCCCTCTAAGGACCCCCCCCCACAGGGACCTTCTGTAAGGACATCCCTCCCTGCCCCACCGCGACCCTCTCTAGGACCCCCTCACAGGGACCTTCTCTAGGACACCCCTCCCCGCCCCCACCCCGACCCTCTCTAGGACCCCCCCCCACAGGGACCTTCTCTAGGACACCCCTCCCCGCCCCCACCGCGACCCTCTCTAGACCCCCCACAGGGACCTTGTCTAGGACACCCCTCCCCGCCCCCACTGCGACCCTCTCTAGGACCCCCATAGGGACCTTCTATAGGACACCCCTCCCCGCCCCCACCGCGACCCTCTCTAGACCCCCCACAGGGACCTTCTCTAGGACATCCCTCCCCGCCCCCACCCCGACCCTCTCTAGGACCCCCCCCCACAGGGACCTTGTCTAGGACACCCCTCCCCGCCCCCACCGGGACCCTCTCCAGGACCCCCACAGGGACCTTCTATAAAGACATCCCTCCCTGCCCCCACCGCGACCCTCTCTAGGACCCCCATAGGGACCTTCTCTAGGACACCCCTCCCCGCCCCCACCGCGACCCTCTCTAGACCCCCCACAGGGACCTTCTCTAGGACATCCCTCCCCGCCCCCACCGCGACCCTCTCTAGGCCCCCCCCCACAGGGATCTTCTCTAGGACACCCCTCCCCGCCCCCACCCCGAACGTCTCTAGACCCCCCACAGGGACCTTCTCTAGGACACCCCTCCCCGCCCCCACCGCGACCCTCTCTAGGCCCCCCCCCACAGGGATCTTCTCTAGGACACCCCTCCCCGCCCCCACCGCGACCCTCTATAGGACCCCCCCCCACAGGGATCTTCTCTAGGACACCCCTCCCCGCCCCCACCCCGAACGTCTCTAGACCCCCCACAGGGACCTTCCCTAACACACCCCTCCCCGCCCCCACTGCGACCCTGTCTAGGCCCCCCCACAGGGACCTTCTCTAGGACACCCCTCCCCGCCCCCACCACGACCCTCTCTAGGACCCCCCACAGGGAGCTTCTCTAGGACACCCCTCCCCGCCCCCACCGCGACCCTCTCTAGGACCCCCCCCCCACAGGGACCTTCTCTAGGACACCCCTCCCCGCCCCCACCGCGACCCTCTCTAGGACCCCCCCCCACAGGGATCTTCTCTAGGACACCCCTCCCCGCCCCCACCCCGAACGTCTCTAGACCCCCCACAGGGACCTTCCCTAACACACCCCTCCCCGCCCCCACTGCGACCCTCTCTAGGACCCCCCCACAGGGACCTTGTCTAGGACACCCCTCCCCGCCCCCACCCCGACCCTCTCTAGGACCCCCCCCCACAGGGACCTTGTCTAGGACACCCCTCCCCGCCCCCACCCCGACCCTCTCTAGGACCCCCCCCCACAGGGACCTTCCCTAGGACACCCCTCCCCGCCCCCACCACGACCCTCTCTAGGACCCCCCCCCCACAGGGACCTTCCCTAGGACACCCCTCCCCGCCCCCACCACGACCCTCTCTAGGACCCCCCCCCCACAGGGACCTTCCCTAGGACACCCCTCCCCGCCCCCACCCCGACCCTCTCTAGGACCCCCCCACAGGGACCTTCTATAGGACACCCCTCCCCGCCCCCACTGCGACCCTCTCTAGGACCCCCCCCCACAGGGAGCTTCTCTAGGACACCCCTCCCCGCCCCCACCCCGACCCTCTCTAGGACCCCCATAGGGACCTTCTCTAGGACACCCCTCGCCGCCCCCACCGCGACCCTCTCTAGGACCCCCATAGGGACCTTCCCTAGGACACCCCTCCCCGCCCCCACCGCGACCCTCTCTAGGACCCCCATAGGGACCTTCCCTAGGACACCCCTCCCCGCCCCCACCCCGACCCTCTCTAGGACCCCCATAGGGACCTTCTCTAGGACACCCCTCGCCGCCCCCACCGCGACCCTCTCTAGGACCCCCATAGGGACCTTCCCTAGGACACCCCTCCCCGCCCCCACCCCGACCCTCTCTAGGCCCCCCCACAGGGACCTTCCCTAGGACACCCCTCCCCGCCCCCACCCCGACCCTCTATAGGACCCCCCCACAGGGACCTTCTGTAGGACACCCCTCCCCGCCCCCACCGCGACCCTCTCTAGGCCCCCCCACACAGGGACCTTCCGTAGGACACCCCTCCCCGCCCCCACCCCGACCCTCTCTAGGACCCCCCCACAGGGACCTTCCCTAGGACACCCCTCCCCGCCCCCACCCCGACCCTCTCTAGGACCCCCCACAGGGAGCTTCTCTAGGACACCCCTCCCCGCCCCCACCGCGACCCTCTCTAGGCCCCCCCCCACAGGGATCTTCTCTAGGACACCCCTCCCCGCCCCCACCCCGACCCTCTCTAGGACCCCCCCACAGGGACCTTCCCTAGGACACCCCTCCCCGCCCCCACCCCGACCCTCTCTAGGACCCCCCACAGGGAGCTTCTCTAGGACACCCCTCCCCGCCCCCACCGCGACCCTCTCTAGGCCCCCCCCCACAGGGATCTTCTCTAGGACACCCCTCCCCGCCCCCACCCCGACCCTCTCTAGGACCCCCCACAGGGAGCTTCTCTAGGACAGCCCTCCCCGCCCCCACCGCGACCCTGTCTAGGCCCCCCCACAGGGACCTTCTATAAAGACATCCCTCCCTGCCCCCACCGCGACCCTCTCTAGGACCCCCATAGGGACCTTCTCTAGGACACCCCTCCCCGCCCCCCACCACGACCCTCTCTAGGACCCCCCACAGGGAGCTTCTCTAGGACACCCCTCCCCGCCCCCACCCCGACCCTCTCTAGACCCCCCACAGGGACCTTCTCTAGGACACCCCTCCCCGCCCCCACCCCGACCCTCTCTAGACCCCCCACAGGGAGCTTCTCTAGGACACCCCTCCCCGCCCCCACCGCCACACTCTCTAGGCCTCCCCCCACAGGGACCTTCCCTAGGACACCCCTCCCCGCCCCCACCCCGACCCTCTCTAGGACCCCCCACAGGGAGCTTCTCTAGGACACCCCTCCCCGCCCCCACCGCGACCCTCTCTAGACCCCCCACAGGGAGCTTCTCTAGGACACCCCTCCCCGCCCCCACCGCCACACTCTCTAGGACCCCCCCCACAGGGACCTTCCCTAGGACACCCCTCCCCGCCCCCACCCGACCCTCTCTAGGGAGCCCTCCTGGGACTCTCCGTTTTCACGTATCTAGACATGTGGCCAGGCGTGCTGAGGGTGGGATGTGGAGGGTAGGGCTGCACGTCTGTGGCGGCGGGTCCGATCTGTACGTGAGCCCGATCTGTACGCGAGCAGGGACATGTCACCCAGGGAGGGGCCCTCTGTCCTCGCCCGTGATGGCCCACGTGAGCGGGGGGCCCCCAGTGATCCCTCCTCCAGAAACCCCACCCCCACGGCCCCCTGCTGTGTCCTCGCCCCCACGTCCTGTGGTGGATGCGCATGTCCGCCCATCTACTGAGCCAACCCGTTTCCAGCTAGGTCCCACCTGAAAAGCAATATTGCCCACCTGGGCGGACGGGGACGGAGCTCTTGCTACACCATGGGGTCAGGTAGGTCTCCTCACTAGGTGTGCAGAGGGGGGTTATTGTGGCCACCACCCCTACAAAGGGAACAGTGCCCTCACAAGCCCTGAGAGGGCCTCTCTGTGCTCACGTTCAAACAAGGGTGTGTGTCAAGGGGCCCCAGGGCTGCGCTTTGTCCAGAGTCTCCAGGGGAAGGTCCTTCCCGCCTCTTCCAGCTTCTGGGGGCTCCAGGCTCTATCCCTGGGCTGGTGGCTGCCTCCCTCCCGTCTCCGCCTCGTCTCCACGTGGCTTCTCCTCTGTGTCTGTGTGTCTGTGTCTTATATGGGCTCAGTCCTTGGGTTTATGGCTGCCCCTACTTCAGGTCCTTCACTTCATCCCCTCTGCAGAGACCCCATTTCCAAATAAGGCCCCATTTGTAGGTCCTGGGGGTGAGGACGTGGATGCATCCCTGGGCACTGCTCAGCCCACTGTGGCCACCCTGCGGGCTCTCCGCTCGGGCTTTCCTCCTCAGGGGTGAGGGGGAGCCCAGGTGACCCCCAAAGGGCAGTAGGGCTGGGGCAAGGCCACCTCCCTCCGGGCAGAGCCGCTTCCCAACAGGAGGTGTCAAGGCTGTTGGTGCCGGGGGCCCAGGCTAGGGGCTTTGTCCCCGGGGTCCTGACACCTGTCAGACCCTCACAGGCTGCCCCTCCTCCCCTCCGCTTGCCTCCTCCCCCCCCCCCCCAACGTGGCTCTTGCCCCCTTTCTACCCCGGGTCTGCTCGCTGACTCGCTGTCTCGGGTGTTTTTAGGGGAGTCCTTCCTGCAAGTGCAGCAGCGTCTCCTGAGAGACAGGGAAGCTAAGATCCAGAAAGCCCTGGAGAGACTACGCCGCAAGAGGCGCCTTCTGGGGCAGCAGCGGAGGCGGAGGGAGTTTCCTGTGGTTTCTGTGGTTGGATACACGAACTGCGGTGAGGGGTGCTGGCAGGGCCAGGGGCAGGGGCCCGGGAGGAGCTAGTGGCTCACAGGGGTGGGGCCTCCCAGGGAGGAGCTCCTGGGGGGACCCGCCCTAGGGCCAGGGTGGTGGGCGGGGCCTCTCAGCAGCTGAGCTATGCTGGTGGGCGGGGCCTCCCCGGGGAGGAGCTGGTGGGTGAACCTGCCCTGGGCCCAGAGTGGTGGGTGGGATCTTCCTGGGGCGGGGCTGTGCTGGTGGGCGGGGCCTCTCTGGGATGAAGCTGGGTGGTCACCTGTACTCCCACCCCAGGGCAGGCACTTAGCACCAGCCCAGCTGCAACATCAGGCTTCTGGATGAGCACACCCACATCACAGCTCACATGGCCCAGGACACCTGCCTGTCTCCATGGACACCTCCCCATCACACACACACACACACACACACACACACACACACACACACATGTGACCACTGTCTACACCATCACTCTTGTGTACAAGCACACCCACATCACAGCTCACACGGCCCAGGACACCTGCCCCTGTCTCCAAGAACACCTCCCCATCACACACACACACACACACACACACACATGTGACCACTGTCTACACCATCACTCTAGTGTACAAGCACACCCGCATCACAGCTCATATGGCCCAGGACACCTGCCCCTGTCTCCAAGGACGCCTCCCCATCTCACACACACACACACACACACACACACATGTGACCACTGTCTACACCATCACTCTTGTGTACAAGCACACCCGCATCACAGCTCACGGCCCAGGATACCTGCCCCTGTCTCCAAGGATGCCTCCCCATCTCACACACACACACACACACACGTGACCACTGTCTACACCATCACTCTAGTGTACAAGCACACCCACATCACAGCTCACATGGCCCAGGACACCTGCCCCTGTTTCCAAGGACACCTCCCCATCACACACACACACACACACACACACGTGACCACTGTCTACACCATCACTCTTGTGTACCAGCACACCCGCATCACAGCTCACGGCCCAGGATACCTGCCCCTGTCTCCAAGGACGCCTCCCCATCTCACACACACACACACACACACACACACACACGTGACCACTGTCTACACCATCACTCTAGTGTACAAGCACACCCGCATCACAGCTCACATGGCCCAGGACACCTGCCTGTCTCCAAGGATGCCTCCCCATCTCTCTCACACACACACACACACACACACACGTGACCACTGTCTACACCATAACTCTTGTGTACAAGCACACCCGCATCACAGCTCACATGGCCCAGGACACCTGCCTGTCTCCAAGGATGCCTCCCCATCTCTCTCACACACACACACACGTGACCACTGTCTACACCATCACTCTTGTGTACAAGCACACCCACATCACAGCTCACATGGCCCAGGACACCTGCCCCTGTCTCCAAGGACGCCTCCCCATCTCACACACACACACACACACACACACACACATGTGACCACTGTCTACACCATCACTCTTGTGTACAAGCACACCCGCATCACAGCTCACATGGCCCAGGACACCTGCCCCTGTCTCCAACGACGCCTCCCCATCTCACAGACACACACACACACACACACACACACACACACGTGTGACCACTGTCTACACCATCACTCTTGATCACTCTTGTGTACAAGCACACCCGCATCACAGCTCACATGGCCCAGGACACCTGCCCCTGTCTCCAAGGACGCCTCCCCATCTCACACACACACACACACACACACACGTGACCACTGTCTACACCATCACTCTTGTGTACCAGCACACCCGCATCACAGCTCACATGGCCCAGGATACCTGCCCCTGTCTCCAAGGACGCCTCCCCATCTCACACACACACACACACACACACACACACACACGTGACCACTGTCTACACCATCACTCTTGTGTGCAAGCACACCCGCATCACAGCTCACATGGCCCAGGACACCTGCCCCTGTCTCCAAGGACGCCTCCCCATCTCACACACACACACACACACACACACGTGACCACTGTCTACACCATCACTCTTGTGTGCAAGCACACCCGCATCACAGCTCACGGCCCAGGACACCTCCTCCTGTCTCCAAGGACGCCTCCCCATCTCACACACACACACACACACACACACACACACACACATGTGACCACTGTCTACACCATCACTCTTGTGTACAAGCACACCCGCATCACAGCTCACATGGCCCAGGACACCTGCCCCTGTCTCCAACGACGCCTCCCCATCTCACAGACACACACACACACACACACACGTGTGACCACTGTCTACACCATCACTCTTGATCACTCTTGTGTACAAGCACACCCGCATCACAGCTCACATGGCCCAGGACACCTGCCCCTGTCTCCAAGGACGCCTCCCCATCTCACACACACACACACACACACACACACACACGTGACCACTGTCTACACCATCACTCTTGTGTGCAAGCACACCCGCATCACAGCTCACGGCCCAGGACACCTCCTCCTGTCTCCAAGGACGCCTCCCCATCTCACACACACACACACACACACACACACACACATGTGACCACTGTCTACACCATCACTCTTGTGTACAAGCACACCCGCATCACAGCTCACATGGCCCAGGACACCTGCCCCTGTCTCCAACGACGCCTCCCCATCTCACAGACACACACACACACACACACACACACACACACACACACGTGTGACCACTGTCTACACCATCACTCTTGATCACTCTTGTGTACAAGCACACCCGCATCACAGCTCACATGGCCCAGGACACCTGCCCCTGTCTCCAAGGACGCCTCCCCATCTCACACACACACACACACACACACACACGTGACCACTGTCTACACCATCACTCTTGTGTACCAGCACACCCGCATCACAGCTCACATGGCCCAGGACACCTGCCCCTGTCTCCAAGGACGCCTCCCCATCTCACACACACACACACACACACACACACACACACACACACACGTGACCACTGTCTACACCATCACTCTTGTGTGCAAGCACACCCGCATCACAGCTCACATGGCCCAGGACACCTGCCCCTGTCTCCAAGGACGCCTCCCCATCTCACACACACACACACACACACACACACACACACACGTGACCACTGTCTACACCATCACTCTTGTGTGCAAGCACACCCGCATCACAGCTCACATGGCCCAGGACACCTGCCCCTGTCTCCAACGACGCCTCCCCATCTCACAGACACACACACACACACACACACACACACACACACACACGTGTGACCACTGTCTATACCATCACTCTTGATCACTCTTGTGTACAAGCACACCCGCATCACAGCTCACATGGCCCAGGACACCTGCCCCTGTCTCCAAGGACGCCTCCCCATCTCACACACACACACACACACACACACACACACACACACGTGACCACTGTCTACACCATCACTCTTGTGTACAAGCACACCCGCATCACAGCTCACATGGCCCAGGACACCTGCCCCTGTCTCCAACGACGCCTCCCCATCTCACAGACACACACACACACACACACACACACACACACACGTGTGACCACTGTCTACACCATCACTCTTGATCACTCTTGTGTACAAGCACACCCGCATCACAGCTCACATGGCCCAGGACACCTGCCCCTGTCTCCAAGGACGCCTCCCCATCTCACACACACACACACACACACACACATGACCACTGTCTACACCATCACTCTTGTGTACCAGCACACCCGCATCACAGCTCACATGGCCCAGGACACCTGCCCCTGTCTCCAAGGACGCCTCCCCATCTCACACACACACACACACACACACACACACACGTGACCACTGTCTACACCATCACTCTTGTGTACAAGCACACCCGCATCACAGCTCACATGGCCCAGGACACCTGCCCCTGTCTCCAAGGACGCCTCCCCATCTCACACACACACACACACACACACACACACACACACACACGTGACCACTGTCTACACCATCACTCTTGTGTACCAGCACACCCGCATCACAGCTCACATGGCCCAGGACACCTGCCCCTGTCTCCAAGGACGCCTCCCCATCTCACACACACACACACACACACACACGTGACCACTGTCTACACCATCACTCTTGTGTACCAGCACACCCGCATCACAGCTCACATGGCCCAGGACACCTGCCCCTGTCTCCAAGGACGCCTCCCCATCTCACACACACACACACACACACACACACACACACACGTGACCACTGTCTACACCATCACTCTTGTGTACCAGCACACCCGCATCACAGCTCACATGGCCCAGGACACCTGCCCCTGTCTCCAAGGACGCCTCCCCATCTCACACACACACACACACACACACACGTGACCACTGTCTACACCATCACTCTTGTGTACCAGCACACCCGCATCACAGCTCACATGGCCCAGGACACCTGCCCCTGTCTCCAAGGACGCCTCCCCATCTCACACACACACACACACACACACACACACACACACACGTGACCACTGTCTACACCATCACTCTTGTGTGCAAGCACACCCGCATCACAGCTCACGGCCCAGGACACCTCCTCCTGTCTCCAAGGACGCCTCCCCATCTCACACACACACACACACACACACACACACACACACATGTGACCACTGTCTACACCATCACTCTTGTGTACAAGCACACCCGCATCACAGCTCACATGGCCCAGGACACCTGCCCCTGTCTCCAACGACGCCTCCCCATCTCACAGACACACACACACACACACACACACACACACACACACACACACGTGTGACCACTGTCTACACCATCACTCTTGATCACTCTTGTGTACAAGCACACCCGCATCACAGCTCACATGGCCCAGGACACCTGCCCCTGTCTCCAAGGACGCCTCCCCATCTCACACACACACACACACACACACACACACACGTGACCACTGTCTACACCATCACTCTTGTGTGCAAGCACACCCGCATCACAGCTCACATGGCCCAGGACACCTGCCCCTGTCTCCAAGGACGCCTCCCCATCTCACCCACACACACACACACACACACACACACACACACGTGACCACTGTCTACACCATCACTCTTGTGTGCAAGCACACCCGCATCACAGCTCACGGCCCAGGACACCTCCTCCTGTCTCCAAGGACGCCTCCCCATCTCACACACACACACACACACACACACACACACACACATGTGACCACTGTCTACACCATCACTCTTGTGTACAAGCACACCCGCATCACAGCTCACATGGCCCAGGACACCTGCCCCTGTCTCCAACGACGCCTCCCCATCTCACAGACACACACACACACACACACACACACACACACACACACACACACGTGTGACCACTGTCTACACCATCACTCTTGATCACTCTTGTGTACAAGCACACCCGCATCACAGCTCACATGGCCCAGGACACCTGCCCCTGTCTCCAAGGACGCCTCCCCATCTCACACACACACACACACACACACACGTGACCACTGTCTACACCATCACTCTTGTGTACCAGCACACCCGCATCACAGCTCACATGGCCCAGGACACCTGCCCCTGTCTCCAAGGACGCCTCCCCATCTCACACACACACACACACACACACACACACACACACGTGACCACTGTCTACACCATCACTCTTGTGTACCAGCACACCCGCATCACAGCTCACATGGCCCAGGATACCTGCCCCTGTCTCCAAGGACGCCTCCCCATCTCACACACACACACACACACACACACACACACACACACACGTGACCACTGTCTACACCATCACTCTTGTGTGCAAGCACACCCGCATCACAGCTCACATGGCCCAGGACACCTCCTCCTGTCTCCAAGGACGACTCCCCATCTCTCTCTCACACACACACACACACACACGTGACCAGTCTACACCATGCCCCTTGCTCGTCTGCACTAACCCTCCCACCCAGGCCCGATATATCTCACCCCAAATCCTGGACAACAGCTGCGTTCTTCAATGACCGTGCCTGGCACCAGGGCCCTGCACAGAACTCTGGATGCAGACACCCTCCCCGCCCCCATCCTACTGTCCAGCCTCCCATACTCAGACGTGGATGCTAGGGGGGCCGTGACGGCCTGAGATGCATGTCCCGTTGTGCTCGACTTGCAGGGAAAACCACGCTGATCAAGGCCCTGACCGGGGACGCTGCCATACAGCCCCGGGACCAGCTGTTCGCGACGCTCGACATCACAGCCCACGCGGGGCGGCTGCCCTCCGCGCTGACGGTCCTCTACGTGGACACCATCGGCTTCCTCTCCCAGCTTCCCCACAGCCTGGTCGAGTCCTTCTCGGCCACCCTGCAGGACGTGGCCCATTCGGTGAGTGGCGAGGGCCGGGCCGCTTCCCCCTCAGAAACCAGCCAACAGGGAGGTGAGGTGGTTCCCTCCTTAGACAGCGCAGGGCTATGTCCCCTTACACCGGACATCTCAGGGACCAGACCCCCTCAAACCCCTCCACTCGGAGCTAGGCCTGACTGTGCAATTTTAAGTTTTGTTTTTTATTTATTTACTTAACCTTTATTTTTGGCTGTGCTGGGTCTTCATTGCCATTGGGGCTTTCTCTAGTTGTGGTGGGTGGGGGCTTCTCTCTAACTGCGGTGAGTGGGGGGCCTTCTCTCTAACTGTGGTGAGTGGGGGGTTTCTCTCTGGTTGTGGTGAGTGGAGGGCCTCTCTCTAACTGTAGTGAGTGGGGGGCCTCTCTATAACTGTGGTGAGTGGGGGGCCTCTCTCTAACTGTGGTGAGTGGGGGGCCTCTCTCTGTGGTGAGTGGGTGCCTCTCTCTAACTGTGGTGAGTGGGTGCCTCTCTCTAACTGTGGTGAGTGGCGGGCCTTCTCTCTAACTGTGGTGAGTGGGGGGCCTTCTCTCTAACTGTGGTGAGTGGGGGGCCTTCTCTCTAACTGTGGTGAGTGGGGGGCCTTCTCTCTAACTGTGGTGAGTGGGGGGCCTCTCTCTAACTGTGGTGAGTGGGGGGGCCTCTCTCTAACTGTGGTGAGTGGGGGGCTGTCTCTCTAACTGTGGTGAGTGGGGGGCTGTCTCTCTAACTGTGGAGAGTGGGGGGCTGTCTCTCTAACTGTGGTGAGTGGGGGGCCTTCTCTCTAACTGTGGTGAGTGGGGGGCCTTCTCTCTAACTGTGGTGAGTGGGGGGCCTCTCTCTAACTGTGGTGAGTGGGGGGGCCTCTCTTTAACTGTGGTGAGTGGGGGGGCCTCTCTTTAACTGTGGTGAGTGGGGGGCTGTCTCTCTAACTGTGGTGAGTGGGGGGCTGTCTCTCTAACTGTGGTGAGTGGGGGGCCTTCTCTATAACTGTGGTGAGTGGCGGGCCTCTCTATAACTGTGGTGAGTGGGGGGCCTTCTCTCTAACTGTGGTGAGTGGGGGGCCTTCTCTCTAACTGTGGTGAGTGGGGGGCCTCTCTCTAACTGTGGTGAGTGGGGGGGCCTCTCTTTAACTGTGGTGAGTGAGGGGCTGTCTCTCTAACTGTGGTGAGTGGGGGGCCTTCTCTCTAACTGTGGTGAGTGGGGGACCTCTCTCTAACTGTGGTGAGTGGGGGGCTGTCTCTCTAACTGTGGTGAGTGGGGGGCCTTCTCTCTAACTGTGGTGAGTGGGGGGCCTTCTCTCTAACTGTGGTGAGTGGGGGGCTGTCTCTCTAACTGTGGTGAGTGGGGGGCCTTCTCTCTAACTGTGGTGAGTGGGGGGCCTCTCTCTAACTGTGGTGAGTGGGGGGCCTCTCTCTAACTGTGGTGAGTGGGGGGTTTCTCTCTCGTTGTGGTGAGTGGAGGGCCTCTCTCTAACTGTAGTGAGTGGGGGGCCTCTCTCTAACTGTGGTGAGTGGGGGGCCTCTCTCTGTGGTGAGTGGCGGGCCTATCTCTAACTGTGGTGAGTGGGGGGCCTCTCTCAAACTGTGGTGAGTGGGGGGTCTCTCTGTAACTGTGGTGAGTGGGGGGCCTCTCTCTAACTGTGGTGAGTTGGGGGGCTTCTCTCTAACTGTGGTGAGTGGGGGGCCTCTCTCTGTGGTGAGTGGCGGGCCTCTCTCTAACTGTGGTGAGTGGGGGGCCTCTTTCTAACTGTGGTGAGTGGGGGGCCTCTTTCTAACTGTGGTGAGTGGGGGGCCTCTCTCAAACTGTGGTGAGTGGGGGGGTCTCTCTGTAACTGTGGTGAGTGGGGGGCCTCTCTCTAACTGTGGTAAGTTGGGGGGCTTCTCTCTAACTGTGGTGAGTGGGGGGCCTCTCTCTGTGGTGAGTGGCGGGCCTCTCTCTAACTGTGGTGAGTGGGGGGACCTCTCTAACTGTGGTGAGTGGGGGGCCTTCTCTCTAACTGTGGTGAGTGGGGGGCCTTCTCTCTAACTGTGGTGAGTGGGGGGCCTCTCTCTAAGTGTGGTGAGTGGGGGGCCTCTCTCTAACTGTGGTGAGTGGGGGGCCTTCTCTCTAACTGTGGTGAGTGAGGGGCCTCTCTCTACCTGGTGAGTTGGGGGGCTTCTGTCTAACTGTGTTGAGTGGGGGGCCTCTCTCTAACTGTGGTGAGTGGGGGCCTCTCTCTGGTTGTGGTGAGTTGTGGGGCCTCTCTCTAACTGTGATGAGTGGCGGGCCTCTCTCTGGTTGTGGTGAGTTGGGAGGCTTCTCTCTGTGGTGAGTGGGGGGCCTCTCTCTAACTGTGGTGAGTGGGGGCCCTCTCTCTAAGTGTGGTGAGTGGGGGGCCTCTCTCTGGTTGTGGTGAGTTTGGGGGCTTCTCTAACTGAGGTGAGTGGGGGGCCTCTCTCTAACTGTAGTGAGTGGGGGGCCTCTCTCTAACTGTGGTGAATGGCGGGCCTTCTCTCTAACTGTGGTGAGTGGCGGGCCTTCTCTCTAACTGTGGTGAGTGGGGGGCCTTCTCTCTAACTGTGGTGAGTGGGGGGCCTCTCTCTAACTGTGGTGAGTGGGGGGCTGTCTCTCTAACTAAGGTGAGTGGGGGGCTGTCTCTCTAACTGTGGTGAGTGGGGGGCCTTCTCTCTAACTGTGGTGAGTAGCGGGCCTTCTCTCTAACTGTGGTGAGTGGGGGGCTGTCTCTCTAACTGTGGTGAGTGGGGGGCTGTCTCTCTAACTGTGGTGAGTGGGGGGCCTTCTCTCTAACTGTGGTGAGTGGCGGGCCTTCTCTCTAACTGTGGTGAGTGGGGGGCCTTCTCTCTAACTGTGGTGAGTGGGGGGCCTCTCTCTAACTGTGGTGAGTGGGGGGGCCTCTCTCTAACTGTGGTGAGTGGGGGGCTGTCTCTCTAACTGTGGTGAGTGGGGGGCTGTCTCTCTAACTGTGGTGAGTGGGGGGCTGTCTCTCTAACTGTGGTGAGTGGGGGGCCTTCTCTCTAACTGTGGTGAGTGGGGGGCCTCTCTCTAACTGTGGTGAGCGGGGGGCCTCTCTCTAACTGTGGTGAGTGGGGGGCCTCTGTCTAACTGTGGTGAGTGGGGGGGCCTCTCTTTAACTGTGGTGAGTGGGGGCTGTCTCTCTAACTGTGGTGAGTGGGGGGCCTTCTCTCTAACTGTGGTGAGTGGCGGGCCTCTCTCTAACTGTGGTGAGTGGGGGCCCTCTCTCTAAGTGTGGTGAGTGGGGGGCCTCTCTCTGGTTGTGGTGAGTTTGGGGGCTTCTGTAACTGAGGTGAGTGGGGGGCCTCTCTCTAACTGTGGTGAGTGTGGGGTTTCTCTGGTTGTGGTGAGTGGAGGGCCTCTCTCAAAGTGTGGTGAGTGGGGGGCCTCTCTCTAACTGTGGTGAGTGAGGGGCCTTCTCTCTAACTGTGGTGAGTGGGGGGTTTCTCTCTGGTTGTGGTGAGTGGAGGGCCTCTCTCTAACTGTAGTGAGTGGGGGGCCTCTCTCTAACTGTGGTGAGTGGGGGGCCTCTCTCTGTGGTGAGTGGCGGGCCTATCTCTAACTGTGGTGAGTGGGGGGCCTCTCTCAAACTGTGGTGAGTGGGGGTCTCTCTGTAACTATGGTGAGTGGGGGGCCTCTCTCTAACTGTGGTGAGTGGGGGGCCTCTTTCTAACTGTGGTGAGTGGGGGGCCTCTCTCAAACTGTGGTGAGTGGGGGGGTCTCTCTGTAACTGTGGTGAGTGGGGGGCCTCTCTCTAACTGTGGTGAGTGGCGGGCCTTCTCTCTAACTGTGGTGAGTGGCAGGCCTTCTCTCTAACTGTGGTGAGTGGCGGGCCTCTCTCTAACTGTGGTGAGTGGGGGGACCTCTCTAACTGTGGTCAGTGGGGGGCCTCTCTAACTGTGGTGAGTGGGGGGCCTCTCTCTGGTTGTGGTGAGTGGGGGGCCTCTCTCTGGTTGTGGTGAGTTGAGGGGCTTATCTCTAACTGTGGTGAGTGGGGGGCCTTCTCTCTAACTGCAGTGAGTGGGGGGTTTCTCTCTGGTTGTGGTGAGTGGAGGGCCTCTCTCTAACTGTAGTGAGTGGGGGGCCTCTCTCTAACTGTGGTGAGTGGCGGGCCTCTCTCTAAGTGTGGTGCGTGGGGGGCCTCTCTCTAACTGTGGTGAGTGGGGGGCCTTCTCTCTAACTGTGGTGAGTGGGGGGTTTCTCTCTGGTTGTGGTGAGTGGAGGGCCTCTCTCAAAGGGTGGTGAGTGGGGGGCCTCTCTCTAAGTGTGGTGAGTGGGGGGCCTCTCTCTAACTGTGGTGAGTGGGGGGCCTTCTCTCTAACTGTGGTGAGTGAGGGGCCTCTCTCTAACTGGTGAGTTGGGGGGCTTCTGTCTAACTGTGGTGAGTGGGGGGCCTCTCTCTAACTGTGGTGAGTTGGGGGGCTTCTCTCTAACTGTGGTGAGTGGGGGGCCTCTCTCTGTGGTGAGTGGCGGACCTCTCTCTAACTGTGGTGAGTGGGGGGCCTCTCTCTAACTGTGGTGAGTGGCGGGCCTCTCTCTAACTGTGTTGAGTGGGGGGCCTCTCTCTGGTTGTGGTGAGTTGAGGGGCTTATCTCTAACTGTGGTGAGTGGGGGGCCTTCTCTCTAACTGCAGTGAGTGGGGGGTTTCTCTCTGGTTGTGGTGAGTGGAGGGCCTCTCTCTATCTGTAGTGAGTGGGGGGCCTCTCTCTAACTGTGGTGAGTTGCGGGCCTCTCTCTAAGTGTGGTGAGTGGGGGGCCTTCTCTCTAACTGTGGTGAGTGGGGGGTTTCTCTCTGGTTGTGGTGAGTGGAGGGCCTCTCTCTAACTGTAGTGAGTGGGGGGCCTCTCTCTAACTGAGGTGAGTGGGGGGCCTCTCTCCAACTGTGTTGAGTGGGGGCCCTTCTCTCTAACTGTGGTGAGTGGGGGGCCTCTCTCTAACTGTGGTGAGTGGGGGGCCTTCTCTCTAACTGTGGTGAGTGGGGGGCCTCTCTCT